ACATATTATAAAACAAAGTCGCTTTCGCTGTATGTCCGTATGTATGCTTAGATCTTTAAAACTACGCAACGGATTTTGATGCGGTTTTTTTTAACAGATAGAGTGATTCTTAAGGAAGGTTTGTATGTATATACATATTGCATCCGTGCGAAGCCGGGGCGGGTCGCTAGTAACTTATAAACTTTTAATTTTCATACCCTCTCATCATCCCAATCACAGAAATATTTTAGTATATCTGTGATCCCAATTGTGATTAGTGAGGTAGCTTTGTGTTGTGATTAGGAAGGTAATCGTATTCTTTCCTTTACTAAAATAGCCGCTGCTTCATTTCGTCGGTCAATCAGATCAGCATTTTTGGTTTCTTTTATTAACTCATTTGGGCCTAGCATACAGTTATAACCAGATATTTGACTAATAATATAATATGTTTAAGTTACAGTTTTCTAATTTCTACGCACGATTTACATCGTTTTTCGGTACCTGATCAATAAAATTCTGATGTCTCTTGATAGTGTTCTCACATTCTTGCTTTACTTTACTGATGTTACGATTGGACTGCTTCTCCAAGTTGCTGACTTTATTTATCATCTGAAAATCACGAAAAATTTACCATTTTTAAAGATTTATATTCACTCAAAAAATATTACTAAGGAGCTCAAAACCACTTAAGTTTATAGATTTTATCTACCTGTTCTTTATGGTTGGCAAGGCTCTCCTGCAGTAATGCAATGCAGCACGATCGTTCTTCCAGCTGTAGTGAAGCTGTCACTAATCTTTGCGCTAGTTCTGTCTGGGGTAGCTTGAGTAGAGTTTCCAGTCTGATCAAAATTCAAGACAGGATTAAAACAAGTCAAATTCTATGTTCTCAAAATATGTATTAATGTGATGAAATACTTACTTTGGGGTACTTTGCGGAGTCGTATTAGTAACTACGGATAAAGCATCATTGGCACTCTGTTCTACCTTCTCCAGGAACTCAAATATTTCCCTGAAAATGTCCTCGTTAACATAAATGTTATAATGAACAGTCATATTTAGTGGATTGTCCAATGTTCTACTCACATAAAATTATCCTTCGGCGAGAAATCTTCTTCTTTCTTGCTTTCTGGTTCAGGTATAATATTATTCGTAACTTCTACCACGGGGTTCTCGCCGTAACTCTCAATTTCCTTCAGCATCGAGTAAATATCTAACACTGTAGACTGGTTGTTCAGTTCTTTGGACGTTTTTGGACATTTATCGTCAGGTGGAGGAGGCGCAGGTCTCTCTGTTTCTATTTTCTCCTCAAGTTTTACAGGTTCTATTTGCTTTGGTTCGTCTCCTATTGGAATTTCTTCAATTTCAATGATCCTGGGTGAAGGCGCGGAAAGAGACATCCACGAATCGATATCTTTGTCATGCTGCACGCTTTCGATCCTAGCGCTCATAGGAGTACGAATAGTAAACATGTTCTTTTGAGTTTGGTTCCTTATGTTTACGGGGATTTGATTCTTGGTAACGCCCTTAGGACTTTTGTTATTCCATTCTTGTTTGAATCCCATTGAACTTTCCCCTGACGCACCGTTGTTTATTTTTCTTTCAGGTTTTTTCAAGTTTTTTGACCCACTTCCATAATCACCTTCTTTGACTTTCAAATAGTTTTGTATCAGTTCCTTTGTTGAAATTTTGGATACGTCTCGTTTAGCATCAGCGGAATTTTTCATTTTTACCGGTGACTGGGGTACCAAAATGCTTTCTTGAGAATTTTCACTAGTGTCCATCTTATCCTCGAAGTTGGATGCATCTTCGAACATCTTGTCAATGTTAAGGGGAGTGGGAGATATGGCGTCAGTCTGTATGTCTTTGAGGGTGAGGTCATGTAGGTTGTTTATAGCTTCTAGTTCTTTTTTATAGTCTTCAATAACTTTTGAAGTATACGCTTTCGTGGTACTGTTGATAAGATAGGGCGGGTAGTCTAAATTATTTTCAGTATTGTCGGATTTGAGTTCGTCTGTTCCTTCACTACTACCAGGTATGTGTACCTCGGTCTTACTCGGAGAGTTTTGTGGAGCCAATGCGATGTGGCCCTCCTTCTTTAAAAAGAAGTCTTTGTACAGCAAGCGACTGTGGTTCAATGGCTCAGCCCATTGACTCTTTCTATCAGGTAAATAACTTTTGTGGTACTCTTTATCATTGCTATTCGTCGAGACACTGTCCAAACTCTTGGGCTGCTCTTCCACTTTATCATGCGAGTTAGACTTCTTTAGCATCGACGTATTTGGCAGCGAATAGTTCTGTGTGTAAAACCTATCTTCATTTGGTCCACTGTCCGGATACCCAGAGTCTTTAGACGAGGAATCAGTATGAACCACGGTACTAGATAATTTAGTTTTATATCCGTCAATGGGGTTCGTGCGAAAATCATCAAAAAAGCTGGTATAAGTCCTCGATTCGCAAATTAAGCTCTGGGTGATTTTATGATAATCATCGCCTTTAAAATCAACAGCGTAAGTGTTTCTATTAGTCAAGTTGTCACCATGGTCACCTTTAACAATTTTATCTTCAAGAGAAATTTCTGGAGACAAACTGGACATGTGTTGTGAAGGAACACTTTCTAGGTCTTGCGTAGATTCTTCTTCTACCAAAGATAGCTGTTGTTTGGAGATGGTGAGACGGCGGTTGTACGTATCAATAGCTTTCTCAACTTCTGACTGTATGCTGGGTTCGGCATACGATCCATGTCCGAACTCGGAGTCTTTCTTCGCTTCTTCAAGTGGTATGAAATATGACTCATAAGCTCGAGTCTTGTACGAGGGTGATAAAGGCCTGCCGTGATAAATATTCTTATGTCTAGTGGGGGAATGAGCTCTCTCCACAATCTTCACTTCTAGTCCATATTCCTGAGGGTTCACATCTTCGTTAATCGCGTTCTCCATGGACTTCCTGTTCTTTTTAGCTATGTTTCTGTACTTAACAAAGTTTTTAGAATTCACGTTTTTCTTTGTCCCTAGTTGAGCTTTAGCTTTGATTTTAGTTCCTAAACTAATGAAGGTGTCTTCAGAACCATAGTCTGAAGCATTACTACATATTTCTTTGTTCCTACTAGAATGAGGCTCAATGGTTTTGGTGTCTCTTAGTAGATCAGTAGTAGGTGCTACTATTTTTATAGTAGTAGTTGCAGTTGCAGAATCTGGAAATCAATAGAAATTCTCAATTTTGTTAAATTCTTATAATGATTTTATAGTTTTTATTAGAAGTATATTTACTGTTATATGACTGTAGTAGCTCAGCACTGAATGCTTTTAAAAAGTTTCTGGTTGATGGGGCTCTGTCTTTTGTATCAGCTGAGAATGGTCTCTTGTATCTTTCTGGATGATCCTAGAACAGAATAATTTAAAATATAATAATTTTGAAGAGTTCAACACATTTTCTTTATTTTGTATTTCCTATAGACACTCATAACATGTCCTAGTATGTAGGAAAATGTCTTATGTGAAATGTCACATAGATCATGATCTATGTTCATGACATGCCGGACATATTTATTATTGTTATCTTATTTATTTATTATTATTACATTAACATGGTTTTACACCAGTTTTCTATTGCTGGTAACAAGAAAAACGACAATGTGCAGTGTATTGGTTGTTATGTACCTACATACAAGCTCGCAATATTTATAACAATAATTCTTATAGGCAATTATGTATAAAAACTATAGGTCTCATACTCATATATCTTGTCAAGCAAATAGGGATAAACTAAAACACATTGTTTATGAGTGAATTTTTATTCTCATTTACGAATGAATAAAGGTTTATTCATTCATAATTTTTTAAAATTTTAAATTCTGAAATCACCTACTATACAAATAAAAGTACATACATGCGGCTAATCTGTTGTACCAAGATGATGATTACATACAAGAATTTAATATGTCACAAAAATGTAATCAAAAACCAAAAACCTTGTCTTGTCTGCAGCAAAATGTATTGTAACTGTGCTTGAAATTTAAATAAATAATTCTACTTATTGAAATGTCTTTTGATCATGCATGACATAAGCACACAATATTTTTAACAAGGGGACGTGAAGTAGTCGCTATGACTACAATGGTTATTTAACTCGTCGAGTACCGGTTTTGTAGACACAATTATAGAACAATAGGTTGCGGTCACCGGTGACCGCTTGGTATTTGACAGTTTAATCATAAATCTAAGAATGTGAATTTAAATTTATACACATAAGTGCTAAGTACGTTACTTTAAAAAAATATATGATACCTAATATAAGTAATAAATAGAGGTCATCTAGGTAATTAAAACATTATAATTACTTACCGGCGTAATACAAACAGTGCTTTGTAAAGCGGATCGTGGTCTATTTCGAATATTTCTTTTATCGTCTTTCTTCTTACTTCTGTAAGACAAGTTCACAGGTGAGCCCATTAACCGCAAATTATTATTTTCTTTCGACATTGCACACACATTCCAACAACAAATCTAACGTACGTTATTGACAATTTCACAAAACCGTTTTGTTTATTTGTTGTCAAGGTATTCGTTGCTAGGCAACTATTACGTTCCAGATAAATTTCTTATCGAATGTCAGTTATTTAGCATCAATCAAATGAGTAACTATTATTTTATTAATAATAAACAAATGGTATTTATTTATGAAAGTGTTACAATATTATTAAAACTATTTTAATTTTGTAATCCACAAATAAAAACCATTTAACGTATGATATTTAATCTTGTTTAATGCTACCGGATGTACTATTTACTCGTCGTAAGAGTGTTGCAAGTTCCGTAACGGAAACTACCGTTTAGTAAGTATTGGTAGATTAATAAAAGTGTGTATTTTATTTCATATTTTATACGTTTGTTATCAAATAAACATTAATTATTGTTTATTTTTATATTAATAGGTTATTACAGGAACTGTCAAAATGTTAAACCTCACTAAACTATCGCAAACCACTAAACGCGTAATGCATTGACGTCATCGTTAAAAATACTGTCGGTTCATATAACACTCGCATGGAAAACGTATCTTTGAGTTCGGGCGGTCAACTCGATTTTAGTTGAGTAGAACCTTGAAAGGCATTGCAATCGCACCGCACTCCGTAAACGCGTCCCGTGAAAAATTATTGTGCAAGTTTTTCAAAATAAATCGTGAATACGCAGTTTTAGCGTCAGTGTTTTTAAATTGTGAGAAATAAATTAAATCAGACAAAATGTTCAGTGGAATCGCAGGTATGTACAAATGTATAATTATATGAAGTTGTAATTAATTTATATATGAAACGAATTAACAGCCAATAAAATTATTATTTTTATTCGGCTAAAGCCTTTTTGAAAATACCTATCTATAATTTTTAAGTACAAAAATTGCAACTGTAGATTGGTCACTATTTTTAACCGATTTCATTTATTCAAAATTAGCACCTTTTGTTAATCACTGTAGATTGTAGAGATGCATATGCATGTACCTGTTATAAATTATTTTATTCTAATTAAGTAACGAGTAACTATTATTAGGTGTTATCGGTATAGGTAAGTATGAAACATGAAAATATTTTTAACATCTTGCCGTAGTGTCCTTGAAGTAGGTAGACGTAATTAAACATTTAAATTGTAAAACATACCCATCGTATGCTAGTTAAGCATGTACATGAACATTAGATTAAATTATACCTAGGTACATACATTTTACAATTAATTATTTCATGTAAATAATTTTGCACACACCGTTTCAGAATTTAATCATAATTTATACGACTAATTATCAACTATTAATGTAATAGAAACAACATCAATTGAACGAAGGTTTTCCTTCATTCCTGATATTTTAATACCACAGCAAACCCAGCTGCAATAAATATGTACCTAATTTTACCTAACTAACATGGTTACACTTTTTATTTACATTTCACGACGATTATAAGTTAGTGATGATTTTCCTATTATAAACAGACTCTACTAATAAGTGGGTATTGTTAATATAGTAGAATCATCCACTATTAGTTGAGAGTTTGTGGGTTCATATTTTACCACTTTGTGGCCATTACGTAATTTTTCTTGAAATAGTGAAACAAAAAATGAAAATGGGATTCAAATTACCAGGAAACCATTATGGAGGATATGTAGGGAAATGAGTGCAAAAGAAAATAATTTGACGCAAATCTTATGAATAAAAAATTATCGGTAATTTGAAATTTAAATATCTCAGCAAGGAAAGTCTGCATCCGCAGTAGTTAAATTCCGGATAACATTAACTTTTGTTGCCTCTTGAACGGCTTCACGAAAAATCACGTAGAATAATTCATACCTAATTATGATCGGATTGGAAGTAGGAGTGGAGTTCTTTAACTTTCAAGACTATCGATTTATAATTCAGTTCATAAAACTTGATAAAACGAGTTTTCTCATTTATTTCCTAGATTATTCAGCGGATAGGTTTACTTATTAGTCTACGATGTTATCATCGTACTTTATTTAATTGTAGCGAACAGACCAGCATATTTAAAACATTTTCAATAAAAAAGCTTTCCTGAAGAATTGCGCAATAGGAGGATCCTCCTTTGTTTTCATCTATTGGACTTTAACGCTTCACTGGGCTCGAATCCTTTCTTTGTTTGAAATATTAAGACGTAATTACAGTGCGGTACCTTACACTTGGAATAATCTACTGGCATATAGCACCTAGGAAGTACTACTACCGTATAACTGAATAATAACTTTTTGTTGTTTTTCTTTGCGGGTCTATTATTAAATTTAGTCAGGGTCGGGATCGGGACCGGGATTAACAATATCATTCTGAATTCACTGAATATCAGTACAATTTACGTCTTAAACTGTCAAACAGCAACAACAGGTTGCGGTCACCGGTGACCGCAACCTATTGTTCTATATTTGTGTCTATAATGACGGTACTCGACGAGTTAATCGTTTATCCATGGAACAAAAACTTCAAACAGGAATTACCATCGAAAATTGGCCTCCTGCCTGCCTCTTCATCATCTTGATTGTATACAAACCAATGATTTACTTTCTATATTCGTCTCTCAACGAGAACACAGCTTCATGAATCATACCATACCTACCTAAACGTGAAGAATCAGGATTAATGCTTCCTTAATGAATTCCTATTGAGTCATTATGTGGCAACTGGTAGACTGATGTCATTGTTAACTTCAAGCAATTGTAATTGTAGCGAACTAATACATTATCTTCCACGTTATTCCCCGTAGACTTTACCAATAATTTAGTTATACCAATCTAATATTATTGATGACAGAAAATAAGCTCCATTCTCGATAATTTTAAACCTAAAAACCTACGACACAGCCACTCAGCGACCGCACAATTCGCACAGCTAGAAAGTTTATTGAAAAAGAAACTGGGTACGTTTAGTGCACTTATGACGATAATATGGCGCCATTAGAGATACAAGTCTACAAGACTCCAAATGGAAAAGTTAGTAGGTCAATACAGTCCCCCGCATCGCAAGGTTAGTGCACTGAATATATGTCGCACGCCGCGCCGCGCCACCTTCTAGTGTCTAGTGGATAGACTGGACAGGGACACGTTAATTATTATATTAAACTGTCAAACACCAAGCGGTCACCGGTGACCGCAACCTATTGTTCTATAATTGTGTCTACAAAACCGGTACTCGACGAATTAATTTTCTTTATTAGGTCGAGTAGGTGTGTTAGTTCATAAATGACTATGCCTGTAGGCATAGTCATTTATGAACTGTTGAAAAAATATCGGAAATATTGTTGTAACTTAGAATTAGAACGCAACATAGGTAACTATCGTTGAAATGTGTTCTAGTTCTGTTCCCTACTCATAATGCAAAAAGCAAAAGATGAATGTACCATCATTAGATGTACAATTTTGGGTAGGTGTTTATAACTCATACGAAAGAGGAAATTATAATTTTCGGAATTCCTCGTCTAATTTCATTTCGCACGAGGAAGAAGTAAATCTAAAAATACCAATAACGATCGTTCGTAGACCTTTAAGAAATTTATTTTTAACCTGATACATAACTAACAGACATGGTAGGTATTGATATAGATAACACAGAAAGTGATTAAGAGCTGTTGTCTGTCATAGTTGGGATGCGTGACACGGTCGTGTCCACGATAACACGTTACTAGTGTGAGGATCATGACCTGGGGACCCTCTGCATGGTCACGCTCCGGTTGCACGGGTGCCGGGATGAATCACTAGTTATTCTCGTAAATCAGTTATTGTTGACGTGAAAACGTTTTATTCTGTGGCCCTGGCGAGGACGTGATCTCAGTTGACTACTAATTGTCTGGCCCTTTGTGTCTATAATGATAAAAACTCGATCGCTTTTTGTTTTTAGTGACCTTGTCAACTGCGGTAGGTTCCAGCTTCCAAATGATGTAAAGTAAATTGTTGTGGTTTAAATTATAGGAAGATATACGAATTTAAATGATGAATATTCAATCAGTTCAATAGATAATTATTAGAGTAGTGTGTGTATGAGACGCAAATCAAATACTTAATTAACTTGAAAATCAAACATAATGTTGGTAAGACGCAAAATCCAAAGTTATGTGAAATAATATGGAACTACGCAGCGAGCACGCGTCGCCCGTTCCTTACACAAAGTAGTTAATGGCGATGGCGTTTTAAATAATTTATCGCCACAAGTCACGTTCTCATTTGGTATTCGCGCCAAAACTATAAACCTAGTGGTGTTAAGCTGGTGCTGCACTAATGACGAAAAAATATTACCTAATACAACGTGACCTATCACACCTCTATTGTTAAATTTGTTAATGGGGTATCTCACTCATTCACAATTCATTCATCCATTCGTTCCAACTACCGCGTGCAATTATAGACAAAACTGTTTTTATTTATGATTATCGTGTCCTTGCTAAAAATATTGTTGTTTTAAATCAGAAAATCAATGTTACACGCAGCTTAAACATGGTATCAGAGTGTTCATCATAAAATAAACCTACTAAAATAATGTGGACTACATTTAATATTGATCCAGAAAAGTGCGGCATTGCAGAGTATTCAGACATGATGGCGACGTGCCTGTTCTTTAAAAAAATGCATCTGCAGTGATCTGCAATGCGACACTTTACCTCTATACTACTAGGAAATCTTTCTAAATAGACAGTTGAAAGTCTTCAAGAATTAAATGAGTGGCTGCCACACAATACCCAGCTGAAAATAATGGGCGTAGGAAGCTATGGTATGAATTTTCTTTTTTCCAGTATTCCCACGGGAACAGGAAAAATTAATTGGACAAAGATTGATATTTGAAAAAAAAATATGTATCATATCTTGGTTACTCAGTTGTATAGAAATAATTCCCTATAGTTTTATAGGTACAATGAAGCACTAATGAGAGAAGCCAGCTAATATGATTGGTATGAACAAAGTCTAGTCAAAAAGACGCGTATTGACCGAGGGCATGTGCACCGAGGGAATACGTGAGACTGATAAAGTATCGATACACCGTTAATAAATGAATATAGGCTCATCTAGACTTTGGATTCTGGTTTACGTATTAACAAGGCTGTATTACGTTGTTTGTAGACTACACCTAATATACATACGCACTTAGTCTATCTAGTCCAAATAAATCTGGAAATGTGGTACAACATGCTTGGGGTACACATTTCCAATTTTTTTTGGGATGACCCTTATGAATTACTAAAATTCAGTAGAATCTGATTAAGACTCAGTGGCGACCTTAACCCAATTCTCAAATGGCCAGGGATAATATATCCAGTCTATTTTTAAAAGTGTTGTATCTATGTATTACGTATTTATGCTTTCTATATTCTCGTGTAAGAGTACCTACGCTCTGAAATATGATTTCAGGGTCAGTTGGAATCGAAGCAGTTATTAAATAAATTATGATTCATTCGCGCGAACTGTGGAATGGTTCGGTAGGAATGTGCTTTGTTTACGTGCCAGATACTATGACTGTTTGATATTGAAGTTTATTTAATTTGTTAGTAAATTGCTGTTTTGGGTTCGTTGAAAATTATATTCTGAGTTTGGGTCGTTTCTGTTCAGCCAGCTTGCAATTTCTAAGAATTCGGTGATGTTAGAAGTCAAGGTTAATAGTGCTAGTTGGTGCCAACAAAAATACTGAGCTGTCTTGTGATTCTTAGTAGAAATTAAGTAAGTAAGAAATATAATTGGTTGTCCCTTACCTATTTATAGATGTGATTTGATTAGCCAGTCGG